ATCGCCAAACGCTATGGTGGCGGGTGAAAAAAACATTCCATGAAATGGTTCGAAAAGTGAAGGCTTGATTTGAACGAAATCCTCATCGAAGCGATAATCAAATGACCGAAGAAAGGAAAATATCCCAATGAAACATTCGAACCATATTCCAATATTAGCTCAAGGTAAATCTTTACAAGTCTTCATAAATATTCAAAATGATCGTGTTTACTTAATGGAACGCATTGCCGAAAATTTGAGTAATTTTCCATCTCAAGTGATGTATGAGTAGCTGTAACTAACGATAGACGCTTTTCAATCGTTTTCATCAAGACTGATGTCAAAGTCAAGGCGACTTTTTTTCGGGAAACTGTTTTAGAAGTTGCTTTAAAGCCGTGAGCAGGTAAACATTTCGGCTGTGTACAATGGACGTTCCAACAAGACTCGGCACCATCTTATAAATCTTATGTGAACTACAAATGGTGTAAAAATCATATTCAAAACATCATTTCGTCCATACTAAAATACTGAAAGAAACCGTTTAAGGACCATAGGCAAAAGATGGCTACATCGAGCTAAAGTGAATGGATTTTTAAATTTTGATTATTTCCACAAATTTTTGTTATTTGAATCAATAAAAAATAATTTCACACAAAAAAGGTAAGGTCGCTTGAAAAGGTAAAACTTCAATCGCCTAACTCTGTAAAAAAGATGTATCTAAATATATATGCATGTAAAAAGTAAATATTTACTAAAACAATTCACATAAGTCTTAGTAACGAACAAATTGAATTCATTACTTCTGAATTATACTTGTGTTCTGTTTTTCTCTCAACCCCATCTTCAATAAAAGTTTTCACATTCATTATTATAAGATTTTTGTCAGCTACAAAATTGTAGATTCAATACTAACCATTTTAAAGTTATGTTTACGCAATAGAAAATTAGAACTCATTAATTTATAGTAAAACTACAAGGACTCAGCAAAAAAAATCAATAGCAAAATAAAATTAATAATTATTTAATATAATATAATAAAAATATATCAAAAGACTGTTATGTTCTATATGAAACATATAATTATTCAAATTTATGTTTCACTTGCTTGCTCAAAATAGTCTGGTTTATTCCGCCTACACAAACCAGTATTGGATGTTCCTCAAAAAATCAATTGAATTAACTACAACCTTTAATAAGAAAGAAATTAGCACTTTAATTAGTCATTCAGAAAAAACAAAATCCCCTGGACTAGGTAGAATCAATAACATGTGTTTGAAAAATATTCCGTCGTCAGTCCTCATAAAAAAAAAACTTACTTTAAACATTTCCCGACTCTCAAATTTGAAGCAGAATATATGCAGGCGACAAGTATATGCCTAGAAGAGTATATAAAAAGTCTGACTATAAGCTCAATTTATTGTCCACCAAATAAAGACCCAAAAGCTAAGAACCAAATTCATAGCGGCCGCCGACTTCAATGCCAAACATACATTCTGGAGCTCAAGACGTATATCATCAAAAGGAAAATTCTTGATTACCGTGGTATCAAAACTCGACCTTGACATAATCTCCACTGGCACACCCTCCTACTGACCCTCAGATCGGAAGAAACTCCAGACGCCATTGATTTTGCGATTACAAAGAATTTAAAAAATTGATCAAATTACTACTGAAGTAACCTTAATCACACGCCGACGTTTATTCTGATTAAAAATACACCAATAGTCAATCCAAAATCCGAAGAAAAGCTCATAAATTGGCTAAAATTTAAAAAATATATTAGTTCACATTTTAACACCGACACTTCCCTAAAATTAAACGACGAAATAACAATGCCATCCAGCATCAAAGCTTCACTACAGCATGCCGCTCGAATATCAATCCCAGTCCTAATACCCCACAAACCTATAAACTACCACATATCGAACAAAATTGTAGCCCTTATACAAGAGAGAAATGACAAGTACGACGCCAATGGCAACAACAAAAATCCCCCTGAATTAAAAGACAACTTAAGTATCTTACGAGAGCATTCCAGAGATTACTCAAAGAAAAAAATCGCATAGAATACGAAAATTTTATTTTCAACTTGTCTCTAACGCAAACAACAAACTACTCCATTTGAAAAGCCACCAAACTTAAAAAAAATGCCCGTTATACGCCCCTCCGACTCACAGATGAAAACTGGGCTAAAAGCGATGAAGAAAAAAACAGGGTGTTGCTTTTGCAAATTACCTTATATATGCATTTACACCAAACTTTAATTTAACAAAACTAGACTCCCCGCCTCCCCCACACGAAACGACAATATGACAATTTGCTTCAATAAAAAAAACCACTAAAAAGCGACATAAAAAATGTATATACGAAAAAAGCCCCAGGCTACGACCTAATTACAGCGAAAAAGTTAAAAGAGATCCCACAAATCGCGAAAGACCAACACCTTTTTATTTATAACGCTATTCAAAGCACTGCATATTTTCCAAACTATTGGAAATCATGATGATACCCAAATCCGGAAAAGCCCCCGCTCAAGTCACCTCATATCGACCCATAAGTCTACTCCCAATTCTCTCAAAATTATTTTAAAAAAAACAATACCTAACCATCAATTTGGATTTAGAGAAAAACACAACACAATAGAACAAGTACACCGTATAGTACGAGTAATTAAGGAAACATTTGAGAAGAGGCGGTATTGTTCAGGCGTCTTTCTAGACATAACTCAAGCTTTCTACAAAGTTTGGCACTAAGGATTGTTTTGGAAATTTGAAAAACACTTACCATACAATATATCCTCAGTTATCAAAAACTATCTCTCAAATCAAAAAGTGCACACGTAAATTTCACTTTACAACGGAATACCTGCCCTGCCCTTCGTATTAATGGGAAAGTAATACCCTAATGCAATAAAATAAAATACAAAATACTTAGGAATGCATCTCGACCGAAGACTTACGTGGAAAAAGCAAATAGAAACCAAAATAACTTAATTAAAACTCAAACAAGAACTTAACTAACTGATAAACAAAAATTCTAAACGTAATCTCACTCATGAAGTGCAACTTTTACTAAACACAAAAGTTGTAATCCTTTGCCTGTTTTCTATTGCTCAAATCCAGTTTTATACTAAATATATAAAAAATATTTATGGGCAAATTTCCAGAGCAGGAGTCTAAACTAAAAGATTCCAGAACAACTTAGACAGGTTCAATTGATCCAGTTTTAAATTGGTCATTTAAATACGACGTCGAAACTGATTCTATTATGTTTTTTGAGATAATAGAAGAACTATCCATAAAACAATGCCAGAGCTTCTGAGAAAAATTCATTAACATTATCTGAAATAAGAAAAGAGCTTGTATCAGTTGAAAAGCTTTCAAGCATGCTTTCGTACAATATTTTTTGCACAAATATTTTGAATTAAAGCATAAAACCCATGAGAACAAGCCGAATTGACGACAGTGAGATCGGTTCGTGCCAATAAATATCGATCTACTCATGTTACGAATACTCATGTTACGAATGATTGCATGATACTATTATATGTACCATTAGGAACTGATTATATAGCTAATACAAAAAAGGAATTTGAAAGAGCTCGAGATATCAGTGATACAATTAAATGCGCATCCTGAATGCACGTATTTGATATTTATCGTTGTGTGTGCAATTTATTGCATAAACCATTTATCGCTATATGGCGTAATTACTTTTTGTTTGCATATTGGATGTAAAATTTTGTATATCTTATATATAAAAATCTCGTGTCACGGTGTTTGTGTATAAACTCCTCCGAAACGGCTTGACCAATTGTCATGAAACTTTTTGTGTATATTTGGTAGGTATGAGAATAAAGTATATTTTATACCGCTAAAGTGATTAGGGTGTCCATATCCAGCAAAAATATCTTTATTGCTTTAACAACATTTTTTTTGTATTTTTGAGAAAGAAACATTTTTTTTTATTATTTTATGTAACTACGCCAACAATTACATCGAGCATTTACATCCACTTCGTTTCTTCGTCTTGCGTTCAAGTACGAACCAGATATTGAATATTCCGCACATCCGAAAGTGATGATTTGTCCATAGAACCGGACAATGAATGCCCTTATTGTCATGCACTCAAATTCAAGCAAGAATGTGTTGCGCATCAGGAAAAGTACAACTACCAGAAATAGAGAGACCACCAGAACCATTGAACGGCTTGCTCATTGGCACTCATAAAGATTCAAATCTGTTCCTGAAGTCCATTCGCATATTTAATTCATACTTTCAAATGACTTCGTTCGGAGCAACGGAAATAGTTCACAATACTACGGCAAATGGCAGTACAATACAATATATTCATTATCACTTTTTTTAAAAAAAAAATAATCAGTAGAAATAATTTATACGGCAAAACAACGTTTGCCAGGTTAAATTCTAATTTCAATATAGATATCTGTAAAATTTAAACATATCAAAACTTTGTAACATAAAACAAAGTTGTTCAGATAAATTTATCTTACTAAATCTTAGTACATAGGACGTTGTTATTTTACCAAAAAACTTATAAATATATTGCGTACAATTATTTACATAAAATCGCACAACAAATCAATAAGCAAAAGTACCAGATCTCATGAGTTCATAATCTGTAATTTTTGATATATGATTTTACAAGTGTGTATCTTTATTTAGTTATTACGTAATACTTAATTAACTATCACTCTATATGCCGCTCCTAAATTCCATGCATTCTCGGTGAAATATATTTAATAACTACCAATTTACTACGTGTGATAAAATGATATTGAGTTAAATATAGATGTAAGAAATTATTTTATTATAAACTAGATATCAAAATTTCAAACCAAAATTAGTGGGACATAAAGACAAGTATTTGCTGAAAAGTTCAATTGCCGAATATTATTATACAGACTAATTTATATTTAATGCATGTTATACATTGAAAAGTTATGAAAAACACTATCACTAATTTAAATTTATTAAATGAATGATGTCATCGATACCAACATGAGTGTACATCCCAATATATATTCAACCCCAATCATATGTAATCCATGCACTGTTTATCTCAACTGAGTTTCTATTTAAACTATTTTCACCTGATTTGCGTTGGGCGTTGTCAAAGTTTAGAAGAAAAATTTAGACACATATTAATTTTCTTACCGCAATTACAAATTATACAACTGCGTTTTATTTTAATCTTCAAATTTTTATATATAATTTTGTTTTTAGTCGTAACTTTAATACACTTTCAACATTTAATATTTATTAAGCTCCGACAAACAACATTAGCGCGACCACTGTTTCTGAAAATTATGTATACAATTGATATGTATGTGGTACGAAACACACAAAATACATTAACAATGTTACCAGCCAAACAAAAAAATCACTTTATATATACACTAAATCTTAGGTTACAAATTATGGTACTACGTGTTATACAAGTGTGACTTAGCTCAAAATAAATCGCAATAAGATATTATGTCCAAGGGATTAATTCCTCAACTGAATATACATTAAGACCGAAAAGTTTTCGGAAATTCTCATTTAAAATTCGCGCGCTGTATATTTTTCGATATTTTAAGTTT